TTGTACATGAACATACAAAATGTATTTTCTAACACCAGCAGATTTTCCAAAAAGAAAAATAGACATGTTTCTCACAAACCATAAAAGATACTGTAGGGTCTACGGTTTCATATGATTTTTTTTTTAAAATGTACTTATAATAGATTATACAATATGGCAGTGATGCTGTTGCTAGGATACCATTGTATTTGTTGGTGAAAACACCTCAAAGATTGATTACATTCAGACTTCTAATACATCTATAAAAAAAATGAAGCATTCATTTTCTTTTCATAGGAGATTTGTAGGTAAATAATTTGACTGTCAGATTGCCATGGATAGATTTTTCTAATATAACAAATTGGATTTCAGAAATAATTTGAAACAGTTGTTATTGTACATTCAAATTCAAATATGTTGTAATTAAATGTTATGTGGCTTTCATGTTGAATAGAATCTTTATTGAGCTTAATGCAATGTCACGACTAGTGCTTCTATTTATTCTAAAAAGCTTTTTACAAAAGAAATTAACATTTTTAAAAGTCAGAAGAAATCATGAACATTTTAGCGATGAAAATTAAATAATTTACAGTATTTTTGCCGATTCTTGTTGATTAGTTTTTATTGGTGAAATCTTGAACTAACAGTGTATTCAAAAACATAAAAATGATTTAAGTCTCTGCTTGCTTTTGATTTGAGGTGCCAGTAAACACGTCTGGCTATTAAAACAACTATTGAACTCACAATGAGGTAGGAACAGTCAACCAATTACTGCATGTTTTACAAAGGATAAAAAGTGGTATGTAACACACATTCTGATTGGTTGCTGATGAAACATCACTTTAACATGATTTGCATAGTTATTTGATTGGTTTAATGTAGTTGTAGTCAATGAACACCGGTGGCCACATATTGAAAATAACAAGAGCCCCTACTCTTCCTTCATGTGATTTTTCCCAGATTACAGTGAAACGTACCTTTTTAAAGGACGACAGTTGTCGTACCACGTCCTGTTCAATATGGGACTTATAGCGACGTATACAACGTGTGTAAAATACATTGTTTATTTACATGAAATTCGAACAAGCGCTGCACAATGCCCACCGCACTTTAACCAATTACTGAAAGAGAGAGAACTGTTCAGTAAATCTTGAAGTTCTTTAGAGTATGTGCTGGAAAGGTGTATGTTTATTGTAGACAGGATTCACTTCATTTAAATTTGGTAACAGGAGTGGGTGCATCAGTTAATCAGTTCTATTATTGTTTTATACTTTTATTTAATTATCATTTTGGAGGTGATTGGCAGTTTTTTGAAGTTGATGAGGAAGGTAAGCCACATGTTTATGTGTAAGAGTCATAACTGGGAAATATGGTTACATCCCTCCCTATGTCAGTCCTTGCTTCTCCCGAATCTTTATGATTGGTGTGCATGCAATAAATTACATGAGAAATAATTTGCGTGTTATTCGCCTGTGATACAAAATAAATGGAATTCCAGGGATTTACACACTATATGATAATATACCATATTTGTTCTATTACGTATGCCCAGACATGACCTCAATTTCTTTATTGTATCAAAATTGGGAGGTGGGTGTTTGCCCAGGCATGGGTGCTTATCGGACAACTACGGTATATGCCCATCTCCAAAAGAAGCGCATTTGTTGTAAACTATCAAACTATTTATTTTCACTGATATTTATTTTCACTATTTTGATATTTTGAGCATATTCACTGTGTTTTAATTCTATGAATTTGTCAAGGAAACAGTTATTTATTGTTATTTTACATGTTCATGTAGATTTAATTAATATAGCGAATTTTACTTTCAGCAAAAATAGCATTTACAGTACCGGTACGGAATTATTAAAATACTTAATAAGCGCATACTTTATTAATAGAGGATTAATATGGTAATTCCTCTCTTACCAAGATGTTCATGATAAATCCTTTCTATGTGCCTTGAGTTAAACGAAACCTGCCTGAACTGTACACTAAACAGACTGATAAAAAACACAATTCAGTTTAGAGGTTAGAATAAAAAAGGTGCTTTCCAGATTTCGGGATTTCAATGTTCACTGTAATATTTATTTAATTTGTAGTTTTTTACCTTTCCAGTGAACTTGCATCCACTGGAGTAAACACAGAATAATAGCAAAACATCTGTTTGTAATATAAGCAATCATAAATATGATAAAGTACGTCTATTTAAAAATAATAACATAATTAAGTGATACATATAAATTAAATATTTTATAATCTCAGAAATAAATTTTGTCTATACGGTTTTATCATAATTGATAACTTAATCATAATAAAAGTGAATTATTGGTCAAATAATTACATCATAAATCTTGGCATGTATAGTGGTAGTTGTGTTTGTCTCTTCTATCAGGCCAGGTGGAGTGGAAATCAGTGCTGCAATGTTATATAACCTGTATGGAAGTGATTGCACACTGAATACTGGAAAAGCATCATTTTATCTTGTATTTATAAATTTTTCTATTTTAACATTTTGAGCATATTGGAATTTAAATTCACACATTTACAGTGACTCGGCGAGTTCTATTGTTGTTTACATGTTCATGTGGATTTAATTCAGCGGATTTATACTTATCAGTGATAATTATGAAATTAAAGCCCAGTGAATAATCAGTATGTCTACAGTATATACTTAGAGGAAAAATGGAACAATTGCGTTATGGTGCCTATCAGTGTCAGACTCCAGGCACCATTCACAAAATAGTTCCATTTATTGTCTGGTCTATTCCAACATAAAATGATGAAAAATTTTTTTTTTTTTTTTTATCAGAAACCAAAAGCAATGTCAGATTTTGTCTGTTCAGTCCAAAATCAAGATTTAAATTCAGTGAAAATTGCATGAAGAAACATGTGTGATGCAAAATTTGGCACTCTTAGGGTTAATATGAGAATGATGGAAGGATTAGTCTCCTGCTTAGAAATGAAATTTTTACATACTATGGAATATTTTATTTTCGCTGGAATTAATTTTCGCTGAAAAGGCTTTTTGGGCGTTTTGCTTCATGCAATTTATTTTCACTGATTTTTCATGAGTTTAATGTGAAATATAGGAAAAAAAGTATATTCGCTGGATTTTATTTTCACGGAATCATCCCTTCAGTGAAAATAGCGAAAATAAATTCCTAGCGAAAATAAAGTATTCTACAGTAACAGAAAAATGTTCCTTTGTCTTTCACACTGCAGTGTTGAGCAACTGATAAGTGAAATGCATCATGGGAGTAGGATTTCATGAGGAAGTCAGTGATATTTTGAAGTACATACGTATATTTTTCATATACTGTAAAATACTTGTTTTCTATATTTTACATTCAACTTGCCAAAAATCAGTTAAAATAAATTCCATACAAAAGATCCAAAAAGTCACCAGCACATTAATGAACTAACATCATTACACTGTGTTGAATTCCTTTTTAACTTGTTATTGCTAACAATTATTTGTTGTCACCATTCACAAAAAAAAAAAAAAAATTAAATTAAGAAAAATAAAAAAAAATTCTCATACTTTTCTTTTTTTCTAAAATTATTATCATGACCTGTAGCCAGAAATTATGTCCATTTTGTGAAAAATTATAGAAAACAAGCAAAATTTTGGACCCAAATTTTTAGCGAGAATAATTATGGCACTGAAATAAGGGCTAGCATTGCTGATGTCGTTCACAGACAGTTCAGACTAATAATTAACTAAGGTTCCGTTCCTCAGTGAACATAAAGCATTCCTCTTTGCAGCGAGGTGCAGATCCCTGTTGGATGACTGCCTCCTATCTATCATTTCATTTTCTCATTGAAGCGAGATAATAGGGCTTTCAAATCAGTAAATTGGGTTCTTCACCTGTTGATCTGAGGAACAAATAATAAATAAATGAAAAATATTCACATCGTCTAGCCGTACATTTTCTGCCTGTGTTCAAGATAAGGCAGACAAGATACGACACTCGTATGCGACTCATAGAAAATGCAACGACTATAAAACTCATTTCATGAATGGAACTCAATGACGTCACATGCGTACAATTAGTCAGGCATGCGTTCATGTAAATGACAGAATTGAGTCTGTGGTCAAATTTAATCATACTTTAATCATCCAGCTCACACTAAATGCAATTTTTGGGGTGTGAGTAATTCTATTAAAGACGTACGGTACTTCTATTAAAGAAAGTAATTGTTTGCGAGTTATGAGGATATTTTACATTCTGTATCATGGACCTTTTCAACTTAATCTGGTTGTTAGCTTTACCCTATTCCAACATCACTGCATACATCAATGTAACAATAAGACTACCAAGTTGCATTCTGGGAGGCTTGAAGCTTCTCATTTAGCTCATTCTGTTGTAAAATTTTGTCATCGCGATGATCAATCAGTCATCTTGTTAATTGATTTTTTTATTACAAGGACATACTAAAAAGCAACTTTAATTAATTTCACAAGTGATATAGTTTTTTGAATTTCGCTTGTTTTCGTACATATACATATAGGTATGTATAGCATTGTCTATAAATTTAACCATATGGTAGACAGAGCTGGCAGTGATGCCTGGGGAAATCAATCAACTCGAAAGCGATATTACATATTACAAAAATTTCTGTGATTCTGTTTACACTACGCTATACTCCTGAGGATAAAAATTAAATTAAAATTAAATTTTTGTTTGAATTCAGCAAATGCCCATACCTCCGATAGTATGTAACTTGTCAAAAGCATGAACCATATTTGCTCTATTAGAAGCACATGTGTTTACGTAAATTACAGAGATTTTTTTATGGTCAAAGTAAGTAAAATTGTGATGATTTAGTTTACAGCAAATGCGACTTTTGGTTTATATGCACCTGTATTGGAGATGTGCATCTAAAAGAGCAAAAATTGAGAAAAGTCATGCACTTTACTTGCTCATCTATTGCATTTATACGTGTATGGTCAGCTGTTACTAAAGAGCATTTGTCCCGGTTTTATCGATATCGTCATCTGGGCGGTAGTGATAACACTGGGACAAATGGTCTGAGGTAGGTCACTTGTGTTGTAATAGTGTTGAATTTTAAACAAAATGTTGGTTCTGATGATCAAAGTATATTCCAAAACACCAGCGGAAATTATATGATATGTACATTGTGTGTGCAATGTATTATTTAGTATTGCTACTCATCAGTAATGATATTTATAATGCTAGTACCAGTATGTCTTATAAAAGATGTGTTCATTTTTGGATGAATATTGATTCCATCCTCTCTCTACAACGTACTTACATGTACATGTATCAGCTGCCTAAATTCTCTCCTTTATCTCAATAAATTTTTTTTATGCTCAAACTTAATGTATTTTTCAATGATTTGAAGTATAATAATATTATTATTATTGATCACAAAAATTGAATGACAGTTGAAATACAAAACTGCTCCATATATTGAACATTTTAATTAATCCATTCAGACGCTTGTGGACTGGCATTGTAGCGGGTTTCTTCCATGATTTCCACAATTCTCATTGCTTCCTGGTGCAAGGTGAAATAATACCAAGATCTCAGAAAAGATATATTCAGCATTGCAAATTCACACATCCACCATTTCAATTGTAAACCACCAGAGGTACAATTCACTGAATTAATTTCTGGTAAGAACCTGCTTGTTTACATCGATGTAGACAAAATTATAAAAACTGGATTTGAAATCAAGCCAGGTCAATTTTAGATGGTTTTATTTCTTCATTTTGCATTTTTCTTTAGTTGTTGTAACCTTTTTTTTTGTTATTGAATAAATAAATAAATAAATAAATAAATAAATAAATAAATAAATAAATAAATAAATAGTTGTATTTATGAACATATTAGCAATTTGTAACTATGTTGGAATTATCTTGTGAAATGTGTTCTTATAGAAGGGAACAAACAGAATCTGTCGTACCACTAAATAATTAACTGAAACTTTAATTCCACTGAAGCCTGACTCTGCTGTCCCTCTGAATTATTCAATATTCAGTCTTGTTTATAATTCACAAAATGAATGATGGTTGCCTCTTTGTTGATTTTAGACTTACAGAGCCCCCCCCCCCCCTTCCTCAACAACAATGTCCTTTGACCTATTTTGTGCCTTTAAACATTTTTTTTTCTTATATCTCTTGCAATTTATTGTTTCCATGGTAAATTATTATTCATAATATTACAGATAGAGGAACTGAAATGATTGTTTGAAACCTGCAATATGACAAGTCAATTAATAATAGTATATATATATCAAACTTTGATTGAAAGAGAACTGGTTCCTTGAATTAATAAAGGCAGCAAGATAATAAAGACGTAATTTGGAAGTGAAAGATATTCATAACTATAAAGCTGGTGTTGAATTTATGACATAACACATAATGAATGATCCCTATAATTATATACTGCACTCTAATGTTATGCAAATGATGTACTGACTCGTGCCACTAAAGGGCAGTATGATTTGGGAATTAAACCCCCAATGTGCTAATGGTGAATGGGTATAAGGATATTGTGAATATTTACCGCAACCTCGCCTGTACAGCTTGTTTAAGAGCAGCTAAAAAATTGATGTTTCTGGTCATGTGCACATTAGTTTTAGGCTTTTATTTTTCAGAATTTTAAGAAAAATTGAAAAAAAAATTCAGTTTCAGAATAAAAATAAATCATGCGTGCATAATTTGTAAAAAGAAAAATGATAATAACATTTGTTATTTAGCATACCTTTATGAAAAGGGGAAAAAAACAAAAAATTTAAAAAAAAATTTTGAGCAGTAATTTATCCTGTCCAGTGCTCTTCAAATACAATGTACCAAAAATGGTGCTAGATTGTCTCAGTTTCTGTAATAATTTTTTTGTCTTTTTCAGAAACTATCACCCTGACCTATCCGTTCTTTTTTCGACCAATGTTTGATGTGATGGAGGATGGTTGGCAGGCTTTTCTCCCGGAAAATGAATTTGCAAGACTCTTAGGTGAAGAGTGGAGGCTAAGTCATGTCAACAAGAACTTTGATGTAAGTATATAATTTCAGTTTTATTATGTCTGCCATGTTGTGGCGGGTTGGTTAGATATTTGATAGATCAGTTATCAGAGCATAACATTTTATCACATGACCAAGTTCCTTTGCAAAAAAATTCAAAATGTGGAAACTAATTATTTTTGATGATTGTCAGAATTATTGTCTTTCGTAGCAATTTAAATGTATGTACAAAATAAACATTAACATTCTTGGATATGAAAGATGACAATATTTATTATTACATATTAACCTTTTCACCAGTTCCCTCTTTTCATCACAAATTCACAAAATAGTCTGCACTCTCCCTCAAAATATTGGGACAAAAATAGCCAATTTTTTTGAGTAAAAACTGGAAATTGACTCAAATTTTGTCTGTTGGCTCCAAAATTAGGGTTCATTTTCAGAATTATTGAAGAATATAAGAAAAAAGTGTCGCAAAATTTGGGCGAGGTGGTGAAAAGATTAACTTGTTGCACACTTGGAGAAATATAATGGCAGATTTTATGACACACACAATCAAAAACATCACCTGACACAATTACCTGCAGATATAGCCAAGGTATTGTAAACAAATTCTATTTTGGACCAAGCAGATGATTTAATGTTGTTGTTTTTTACGTTGCTGTCAGATTTTGATTGAAATGTTGTTAGGATAATCTGACATGTGTCTGTGATCGGTGACAAATGTTGAAAATAACCACAGATTTGAGGGATACTCTTGTCACGACTGCAGATTTTCATTGTTCTATTTCACCTACATCATGTGTACTACATACTGAAAAATACTTTATTTTTAGCGGGAATAATTTTTCGCTGAAATTACTTTCTGGCTGTTTCGTAGAGAGTTTACTTTCATTGATTGTTGATGAGTTGAATGTAATATATAGGAAAAAATGTACATTCGCTGGATTTTGTTTTCACTGAATTATTCCTTCAGCGAAACAAGCAAAAATAAATTTCAAGTGGACATAACGCTTTCTACAGTACTCCAAAAACTTCAAAAAATTCAAGTTTAGTAGTGCGTCCCTTTTTTCGTCTCATGTTTTTGACTTTTATGCACCAAAACTTGTACACTATTTATTGTCATAAATACTACATACAATCACTAATGTGATATTCATAGTCACATACCGTACATCCATTTTGGCCAATATAATCGACCTGTAAGTTCGAGAAAACATGAATAGATATGGTCTCCTCTTCGAGTGATATCAGCTGGTGCTTTTGTTCCATAGAAATGTGAGATGGCCAGCTGATACATAGAGTCACTCCAATGAATATCAACAATTCATTAAAAGATATACTGATTATCATCAGTGTATAAACTCAGTATGGAAACAAACAAGTTTTGAATTTTCTGCTCAATGCTGAGTGTATGCATTTAATTCGTGATAGGATCCCTTTTTTTTTGGGGGGGGGGGGGGGGTCATGACCATTCATATTAAAGTTTAATAAATTTCCAAAGTAGGAAAATGTATGTTTGGTTATTTATATACACTGCTACCAAAATCTTCTCATAGTTTCAAAACATAAACAGACCAAATTATTTTGAAATATTGCTCATTGTGCATAAATAAATGATAAACACATGCATATTTATTTTTCGATGCATAGAACACATAACTTGAACTTGACACGCTATTCAAAACAGGATTTTATTATTACTGTAAAATCTATATTAAAAGCCGCGGCTTCTATTAAAATGGTACAATGCAACAGAGGGGATGCGGCTTCTATTAGAGCATCTACACATATGAAGAATGAGGAATTTTTGGTTTTCAATTATTCAAAAAGAATGGGTGCGACTTCTATTTAGGGATGTGGCGTCTAATACAGAATTTACCGTAGTAGGGACTAGGGCAACATATTATTTAATTAATATGTAACAATCTTAAAGGACTGTGGTTGTCGCATTGTCTTTGATCACGGTTACTAAACGTGGTTCGATGAAAGACTCATAGCGACATACATAATGCATGTAAAGTGCTTCATTTTTTTTTCACATTCAAACACACTGTAATGCGACTGTCGCCTTTAATTTTACACACTTAGCAGTACACCTGCAGGACAAAGTATGGCATATGAGATCGATGTAATTCACCTCTCAAAGAAAAATTCCATTACTTGACCAATCTATGGAAACACTATGCTATTAAATACAAATTTCTAAAACAAAAGACAAAAATATGTTAATTAATTTAGCCAATTTTGTATACCAATTAATGAGAGAAAACTTCATTAAATCTAAATTACCAGCTGCCTCATAAATTTTTTTTTTCTTTTCTCTTATTTTTTTTTTTTTTCATTTTATTTTAATTTTCAGCATTTAACTTTATTGTATCATGAACAATATCTCAATTAAGGATACGTTTATCATTAAAGATTATTATTATTATTACATCCTTGGCTGTTTGATGCATGGCTGACTACATATATTGTCAATCCCTGAGACTTCAACAGTGAATCCTGGATCACAATTAGTTTTGTTGTTTAAAGGGGTGGTGGTCGTCGAGCCATGCATGATCTACATTTGATTTGCCTACAATTCAACACAATCTTCCAATAAAAATCACATGTGCAAGTTTTGATCTGGGCACAACATGCACTAATTACCACTGGTGACTTTTTCACTACCTTCCAATTACCAAAGGCATTACCTAATAAAAGCCAGGTAACCTCTCAGTTTGTACTTGTTGGTCAGTGCAACCGTGAAAGTTGCCATCTTTGTTCATTTGAGACCCATATCTCATACATGCGTGGCACGACTACCACTGCCCTTTAAACTAATATCAGTCTTTGTTTATCATTGTACATTATTAGGCTGTCTACTTTCTTAAATACAGTATGTATAGAAGACAATTTACATTCTACTCTTAGAACTTAAACTCTTGTTAACATCTTTTCAAAAAGGTTGTTCTTCAAAGTAAGTTATATTCACATAAAACATGCTATTAAATTGTTTTTCTAGGTATGTCCTTCTTACCCACAAACTGTGATCGTACCCAAGTCAATTGATGATGGGACTTTAGAGATGTCTGCCAGATTCCGGCACGGTGGTCGCTTTCCTGTGCTGAGTTATCACCATTCTGCCAATGGGGTGAGTACACACTGCTGCTCCGTCAGTGTAAATACTCTGGATACCTATTTACCAATGGAGCGATGACTTGTGTTTCAATATCTGTGATTTGTGTAAAATTAGAGTCTTGGTTCTCACAATTGCTGATGATATTACTAACTGGATTGTTTTAAAATTACATGTACATCGTGTTTCATGTACTCAGTGCTCTTCTCAACAAAATAGACAAGTATTACCAACTAATTTGTTTATGAAAGACAATGTTTTCTCTCCAGACGGAAAAAACATAAAATTTACATACTATTATAACTAAATGGGCTCCGATATGTATTAAAAATTAATGAGTTAATTGGGAATCCCTTCACTTGGGAGAACCCTGAAAGAAGTGTTAGTATTAGTTCTTTGTCCTGTATGTCCAGTGTGGGGCTCTCTAAATCTTTTGTTCACAGTTTACTGTTCAAAAAAAAACTTAATTCATAATATATTTCAAGAATGGACATCAATTTTTCTATAACACACTGAATGATGACATCAGTTCTACTGAAACACTAAGATTGATGTCATCAATTGCCCTTAAGCACAAAAAATGATGACATCAGTTCTACTGAAAAACAAAGATTGATGTCATCAATTGCCTTTAAGCACAAAAAATGATGACATCAGTTCTACTGAAACACAAAGATTGATGTCATCAATTGCCCTTAAGCACAAAAAATGATGACATCAGTTCTACTGAAACACAAAGATTGATGTCATCAATTGCCCTTAAGCACAAAAAATGATGACATCAGTTCTACTGAAACACAAAGATTGATGTCATCAATTGCCCTTAAGCACAAAAAATGATGACATCAGTTCTACTGAAACACAAAGATTGATGTCATCAATTGCCCTTAAGCACAAAAAATGATGACATCAGTTCTACTGAAACACTAAAGATTGATGTCATCAATTGCCCATTAAGCACAAAAAATGATGACATCA